CTGCTGAACGGATGAGTTTCTGGAAACGCAGTAACCTCGCAGCCTGCACCAATCCCTCCATGAAGACGCGCTCATTAGTCTACGGGGATGAAGACCAGGAGCAAGAAGCCGCGTGGAGGTGTGGGATCCCAAGTAGCAAGGCTCGCCCTCTGGCCAAATGACTGGCCTCTCGCACCTCAGCCCCAGCCATGGAGGCAAACGCGTATATTTTCATTACTGAAACCTCAAGGTTAAATTCATGACTGCCAAGACTCACTATTTATAGGATAAAAGAAAAAGAAACTTGGGACCGGCAGGTGGCATGGTGGTTAGGGTGCTGGACACTCCCATGTGGCTGACCACGGTTCAAGTCCTGGACCTGGTGGCTCACTTTCTCACTCTCCCTCTTTCTCCATGTGTGTGTCTTTCTCTCTGGTCAAATTTTTAAAAAATAATAATAATAATTCTTAAAAAAAAACACAACGGGGTGGGGGGACCAGCAGTTGGCATAATGGCTATGTTGCCAGACTCTCATGTAGTCGACCGCGGTTTGAGTCCTGGACCTGGGGGCTTAAACTCACACCGGCCGTGTGTGCGTGCGTGCCCAAGATCCCGAGAGGAGAATGAAGGAGAAAGGATTGAGGCATGGCCATCCCCCCTGGGGGGGGTGATTTTTCACTTTTTACCTCTCTTTCTGGCGAGCACATGCGCCCTATAGCAAAAACCTCTCAAAAAAAATAATAATAATAAGACTGCATGGGAGGCTGCAGGTGGCGTAGTGGTTAAGACGCTGGATTCTCACGTGGTTGACTGTCGTTCAAGTCCCAGACCTGAAAGCTTGCTTTCTCACTGTCCCTCTCTCTTTGTCTCTCTGTCTCTCTCTGGGGAGTGAATGTATCCCATAGAAAAATTAAAATAATAATAATTCAATTAATTAGACCATTTTTTAAAACGTTAGATGAGTTATGCAGGGTAGGGAGAAGCAAGAACAAATAGTATGTTCTCCATGAGAAATGCACTGTAACTATAAAAACACAGAATACGGGGAACCAGCAGTTAGCGTAATGGCTATGTCGCTGGACTCCCACGTAGTCGACCGCGGTTCGTGTCCCGGACCCGGTGGCTTAAAACTCACGCCGGGCGTGTGTGCGTGCCTGCCCAAGATCCCGAGAGGAGAATGGAGGAGAAGGGATTGCGGCGTGACCATCCCCCCTGGGGGGTGATTTCTCGCTTTCTGTCTCTATGTCTCTCTCTGTCTGTCTGGCGAGCGCACGCGCCCTACAGTGAAAATCTCTCCAAAAAAAAAAAAAAAAAAAAAACCACAGAATACGTTGAAAGTAATAAAAGAGCAAGAAGGCTGCACTGCTATGCTTCATCTGGTGAGCTGGACTCCAGCATGGGTTTGCTGGCAGAGATGAAAAGGGCGGCACTGTGCCATAACCATCCTGAAACAGGAGGGCATTATGTAGTTAGAGCACCGGCCCAGGGAACACGAAACACGGGTGTCTATGGTTCAGAAGCCCTCACGCCTACTTTAGGAGCCAGTGGAAATGGGCTTTGAAATCTTCATTCATTAAATTAAATTCATTTTGTGTGGGGCCAGCAAGTGGCATAGTGGCTAAGGCGCTGGATGCCCACGACTGTGGTTCAAGTCCCAGACCTGGAGGCATGAAAATCATACCAGGCACATGTGCATGTGTGCCCAAAATCCTGAGAGGAGAATGGAGGAGAAGGGACTGTGGCATGGCCATCCCT